AAAGCCAATCGACAGCTGGTCAAGAGGAATTCGCCGTCGTATTCTGGTGGAACCGACCTTCGAATCTCTTAACCCAACACTTCTACTCGAAATGGAAGTAATCCCAACACCTCTTTATGTCCTGGCCTATCTAATTACTCTTTACATTCTTAGCAAACTCCCGCCCTATCACAACTTCTCACTTGTTTACATTCCACTCCTCAAAATGTGCCTTTTTGTGCAAAATCTAGTACGGCCTCATCACACCTGCTAATCACCCCAACCCCCTCTCTTTCGATCGACTAATCCGACTCGAGCCTCCAATCCGGATCCTCTCATGACCCTGTAGATCCATTCCCTATTTTTATGGTTGACCGATTTACTCGATTCCGCTCCCAGTGTTCGTTTCACTCCAGGCGCTATTTCTCAAGGCCCTGGAAGCCCGTACACTGCCGCCTCACCGAGCAGAGCGCCTAGGCTAAACAGTTGTGGTATCTCTCCTGTCCTGGGCTATTCACCTATCCTATATCCTCGTATCACCAATCACAATTTCTTACTTGCCATGCCAAATCCATACTTTAGGGGCTTGCGCAGAAAGGCTGGAGTATATATGCTATCAAAGGCTTGAGGCATAGTGTAGAACAACGCCTTGAGTAGCGCGGATAAGGTGAAAGCGATGGAGTGAAATGACTGAAACAGGCAGATAAGGGAATGATCTTACGGAGCAAGACCCTATGAGAGAGGATTGCGGATTAGACTTCAGCCTTGAATTAACGCTCCCGACAGAGTGGGAGGGATGAGGAAACTAGAAGGAAACGTGAATAGATTTCATATAGGTTTAGATAAACAAGTAAGAAATTGTAATACTGAAAGGGCGATAGGAAGATATAGCTCAGGACAGAAGGAGAGATACCACAATTATTTTGCACACAATCGTCTTCACTTGTCTCTTTGACGAGTTGTAGCGTGGTGCTAAGAATGATAAGGCTCACTGACGATGCCGGCGAAATATCTTGGAATGTTCTAAGTTCACGGGCCAACTCTGGAAATTATCATGCATACCATGGACTTCGGGCAAAATGCGTTCCTCTAGGTTATCTTGCCAACCTCGTTGCACAATGCCGCTACCTACGAGCTTTGCCGTGGTTTGGAGAAAACAAATCCCATGACCGCGCTCGCCTTGTCCACTTAAATTCATAAAGATGACAACTTCTTTGTCAAGAAGCGTCCCAAGAGCAATAGAAGCAGAAATATACAAGGTTTGACAGCCTCCTTCAGTTAGTATATTCGATTTCGCACTCCTTCTAGGACATAAAGCCCTACGGATCAAGGTGAAATCATTTACTCAGTCTCATCCTTTAAGTAGACTACTGAAGACAATGCTTAGATGCTCATAGTCGCCCTTGCATATACTCTTACCCTGTAGTTCCGTTGGACAGGAAGTTAACTTTATTTGGCACACGTACACTAAAGCGACCACACGACTCTTTTGGCGCGCTTGTGATCTTCCACTTTCTGTTTGGTTGGGAACGGAATTGGCCTCGGGTAATGCATGTAGTAAAGTATTCCGAGGCTAAAGTGGGATCGTTCCTTAGAATCCTTTATTTTGGCAGCGTCAAGACACTGTATTTTTCGAATCACCAATAAATGTGTGTGCCACCCAACGTAAAATGAAGCCTACAAACTAAATAGAGAGATAGTATTAGTAAAGTGCTCTGAGTCCCCATGAAAACTATGGAAAAGGACGTGAGACTATGTACGTTCCCCATCGCTCTGACTAAGTTTCGAAAATAGGATCCAACAAACACTATACAGCTAAAGGGTGCTGCGACAAATCAAAAGGCCATACCAACTTGGTCTTTATATCTACGATCTAAAAAATCTGAATAATTCAACTTACGAACTATGCAAAGAAAAATAATACATAGGATGGAGGGCTAGTGGTGCTACTACATTTTCGATTAACCGGTGGTCAGGTTTAATTGAATATTTGCAAAATATTTACTTCAAACTTTTGGTATATTAGTCATGAACTCGGAAGTTATTTTAGATAAACTGTTTAATAAAGATATTCATTCAGCCCGTCTTATATATTCCTATTATTACGCTCAGCCGATCAAAAGTCAGTGTTCGAGCAGGATCTAATAAAAATCACCATATTGAGCTGAATGTGGTAATATGAATCATCTGTGCCATATCTTACCAAATTAAGAAAAGATTGACAAAATCAAGTAGACAAAGCCATATCCATTATTTACAATGGCTGCTGGTCCGGTTGAGCTTATATTAATTATATTCGAACAGATCGGAATTAGAAGTTAAGTTTGAAATATTCATATATATATATATATATATGAATATATATACTTCATATTATATGATAATTTGCCACTCTGATCCATACCATTGCTAATAAAGAAAAAAACGACTGTAGGCCTAAACAGAGAAAGTGTTATATATCTATATATGCTAGAGGTAAACGCATGTTCGTTTGCCTACCTCAGTCATTTTAATTTGTTCATCAAATTTTTCCCTCAATTCTTTCAGTTTTGGAGGAGCGTCATCATACTGGATATGAGAATTTTTTTTTGAATCACCATTTATAATAGCATTTTGATATTCAAGTTCCCGCTGAAGTGTTGCAATACGCCCGCGTGAAAGCTCATATTCATGATGCAGATTTATCAATTCACTGATTGAATCATCAGCTCTTTTTGTCTCGCGCTCCGCCTCCTGTGATTTTTTTTTCAAATGCAACTCTAGTGCACGAATCTCCGATTTAAGTCTATCTATAAGTTGTGGCATTGCTGACTCTTGTCCTATCGCCTAAAATTTATGAAAAAAATTTAATTTGAAATATGATTTTCTCCAAATAAAATTATATAATTAAGGAAGCAAATGAGGATGTATTTCGCAAGTCCCAACCAGTTTTGTAAAACACCTAATTTCTAGTATTTTTACTATTTAAAGGATTGCTAGTAAGAAGCCCGTAGAATCAAACAAGGAAATTCAAGACTACTATCAAATTACTGCTTCAGTCCCCATTGCATAGATAAGCTAGGAGTATGTGCTTCCTCGATAAATAGCCAGCTAGTGTGTAAAGAAATAAAAAAATGTAGTAAATAATGGCACTTCCTTGAAGAAAGCATAAAGAGCGGATTGTATAATCATGGATAGATCTTAAAATAGAAAATAATGATGCTTTTCGACATATCACATTAGCAAATACAAAGCAGACAAAAAATGTACAAATTTTACTGTTTTTAAAACTAGATTTATTGTATTCGAATTCCAAAGTTCTTCGAAGTCGTTAATTTAAATGTACATCCCTATAAAGTAGAAGTAAATGTTTTAAGTTGTTTTCGCAACTTGGTCATATTAGTAGAAAGACCTAGAGGAACGCACCTAGTGCTGAGTCCATAGTATTCATGATAATTTCCAGAGTCGGACTGTGGATGTGGTACATTCCCAGACGTTTCGCCGGCATCGTTAGTGAGTCTTGCTAGTCTTAGCACCACACTACAACTCGTCAAAGAGAAAAATGAAGCCGATCCTTTGACAAATTGTCTGCTAAACAATAGTGCTGTCTCTTCTTCCCCACTGAGCTAATCACCAATCATATATTCTCGTATCAAGCCATCACTATCACAATTTTTGCTTGCTTATTTAAGTATGCTATTGTGTGCCTTTCTGAACGGCTTCCATGAGAACTCTCTATAGTCCACGATGGCTTTCTCACCCCATCACCCCCCTTCAACCTCATGCTGGGAATGTTGATCAGTCTGCGATATTGTTAAGAAGTCCACCTTCCCTAGGTCTTATTAGAGTCTCTCTCTTGACCTGTACGATTCGTCTGCTATCACCCTGTTTCAAGTATTTCACTCGACCCTTGCCACCCCATCTGTGCTACTCGATGCGTTATTTCCCAGACTCTGCCTCGGGAGATTAACTTGAAGTTAAAGCCCTTGAGTAATTCTCATGGTCAAGCCTTTATTTCATGAACCAGTTATATGGTAAAACATACCTATTGTCAACCAACTAGCTCTCTAGACTCCGCCGCATCTATCCTGTTTCTATCCATAAAACTAACTCTATGACTTTCTACGCCCTAGTCTCTTGTATGCCAGCGCACATATGTTGTTGTATGGCTTGCTCTGGTTAGGTCCAATGTTGAACAACAACAACAGGTTATAAAGGGAAGATTTCAACTCGGATTTTATGAAAAGCAGATCAGGAATCAGGATGAACAAAAGTGGATTTGCCTGCCCATATCTGAACTGAACCCAAAATTGCGACTGTTACTAAGACAATGGAACA